AAAAGGAATTCTTACTAAAAACCTACCATCTTCTAATCTTTTTGTAGTATTTATGAAAATCTTTTCACATTCCAAGTCATCTTTACTCATTTCCACCGATTCTAATCGGGGAGGTTCCTCAATGTCCCAAAATTTTTCCAATTGTTCTTGAACATCCAAGTTTAAAGTTAAATTACACCTTTGAGAAACAAATTTAGGCCTATATAGAAGTGATCCTGATGCAATCCACCCAAACTTAGTTTTCTGCAAAACAGGCTGGCCATGTCCTAGATGAATTTGTCCAATACAAAGTAATCTATAAAATATTTCAGCTCCTAAAAGAAGATCAATTGGCCCCTTTTTCTCAAAATTAGGATCTGCCAACTTCAAATTACTAGGGATTTTTAAATGAGAAATATTAATATTTTGACTAGGTAAAGATTCACTTATTTTATCTATCACCAAACAAGACCTAACTTAAAGTCAGAGTGAAAAGACTTCACCTGTACTGAACATCTTTCTGTAATAGTCGAGATTGCTTGATTTATACCAATCATGGAAAAGTCCACTCTTTCCATTGACAAATTAAGCTGATGGCATAACTTTTTTGTTATTAAATTAAGCTGAGAGCCATTGTCCAAAAGAGCCCTACATTCTACTACTTTACCTTCTTGGCCTATCAACTTGACCATTACAGTAGACAACAAAACGTCTCCATTTCTTTCACAAAGCAAAGAAAGCCCAGAAGATATTTATTTTTGTTCTTCCTTGCTCCCAGTACCAGAACTACTAGTACTGGCGTTTCCATCGATGTTTTGGTCCTGAACTAATTGATTTAGAGTTTGGCTGTGAGTGATGTAACAATGTATTATGTTTTGATCCGCACTGCCTACAACCAGAAAGTTCACACTTTTTGCCAATATGATTACTTTTTTTGAGACAGTTCAAACATAAACCCAATTCTTTAGCTTTTTTATACCTTTTGTGAGTATCTAAAGTTAAAAATTTCTTGCAGTGATAAATCAAATGTTCACCATTGCAAACTAAACAATTATTATTTGAAACCAAAAATGAATGCTTATTTTTATGCTTGAAATTGTCCTTGCTTTCCATTTTTATGTCTACTTTGTTACCTTTATTTTGTTCTAAGTGTTCAAGATGTTCAACTCTTTCTATTAAGAAAGATTTGAATTCATTTAGTGTGGGTAAATTTCCCTTAGGTCTAAAATCATCCCATTTTGATTGTGAAACTTCATCAAGTTTAGAGTTGATCAAATAAATTATCAATACATCCCAATTTTCTATTGAAACACCTAGTCTACTAATAAAAGCTAACTTATTTGTAAAACCAGTTAAAAGATTACGCAATTCATTACCTGAGGGCTTCTTAACATTAGGAAACTCAAATAATGATTTCAGTTGGTTATTTATTAAGCAATAAGGTTTATTAAATTGTTCATATAGAGAATCCCATGCAAATGAATAATTTATTGCAGCAAATTGAATTCCACGAATTGATTCTTTTGCAACTCCATCTAAAGCCTCTCTTAAGCAATGAAACCTTTGAATATCGGTAAAACCTGCATTGTTATGTACCAAAGATTCAAAAACGTCTCTGAATTCCATCCAATTTTCAAGAGACCCATCAAATCTAGGTAACGGAATGCTAGAAAACTCAGGTTTTAACCCAAAACTCACATTATTTGCTGGAATAGCAGATTGACTTATATTTGAATTATGAGAACCGTTTTCATCCAAACCTACAACAGCAAACAAATCACTGTTATGATCAATTAAAATTACTTTTGCTAACGCTAATTGTTTATTTAGTTTTGAATCAAAATCATTTCGAGTAATGAACTCTGCTTCTAGGTGTTCATCTAAAACTAACAACTCTATTTGTTCTTGAATTTCATTAAATTCTAACTGTAAGTTACTTAATGTTTCGTATTTTCTATCTAACTCTGACAAAGCCAAACGATTTAGAAATTGTTCACCAATATTTTTATTTTTTAATAAATCCTCTAAATACCTCTCAAAACATGTGAGTCTTGTTTTTACACTACCGCGTTTCCTATTTAAATTTTTTAGTTCTGCCATTTGAACTACCAACTTAATATACAATACTTACTCCAAGATAATTTAAAAGTATAAAGACTTAAAAAAAGGATATGTTTGAAGAAAGATCAACGCTTAAAGGAAACCAAACTTCTCTCCAATTCTGTTTTACTCCACCAGCCTCCAAATCCACTAGCCTCCAAATCAACTAGCATCCAAATCCACTAGCCTCCAAATCCGGCTCGATGAACCACTATGTGTGGAATATCTCCCGTTTGGACTGTATTTATAGAATTAATCCTCCAAATAGGTTTATTATGTTGATTTTTTGTAATGATAGCCAAATTCCAATGTGACAATCATTTTATTAATTTTTGACAACATATATATTTTTTTTTTCAACAAACTATTACTACGATACAAAACAAATTGAATACAGGGTGTGAATACTGTACAGTATATATTAAATTTAATTCTTTATATCGATATTGTTACGCTGATCAATTTATTTCCAATTCAAACTTTTACAATTCAACTATACAGTTATCAACATTAACGTACGACGTCTATCATAAAATTAAACTGTGACGTCAATATCTTCCCTTCAACTTTCTCGAACCATCTCGAACCTTACAGATGTTTCTTGACACGAACTGAAATTTCTAGACTGTTCTCTCTTCTTCTTTTATTCGTATTTACTTATTATAACCGCAGTACACTGTAGGGTGATGGGTGACAGTACACTTCTTCTTTTATTCGTACGTTTCCTACAACAGCTGCAAGCCAGAGCAGGATGCAAAGTAATATTATATTCAACCTTGGAGTAGCCATCTGTGAGTTGGTTAAATTAAAGGTAGAAAAATAAAAAGGTCCTTTATATCTTACAAAGATTTGTATTTTAATACTGCGATCGGTTTCGAAGTGTAACTACTTTATTTTCTAACACGCCTAGTAGGTAAGAGAAAAAGGAGAATTGGTAAATTTTACATTGCTGGCAAGATAAAAATAATGCAACAATGATTTAATTGCCCAAGTAGCATTTTGGCGACTATAACCACATAATACACAAAAGTTAATGTTGTACTTGGTGTAGAAGTTGCTAGGAAAAAATTTAAAATTATCTTCCCACAACAAATTGCCTATTTACAGACAGATATTAAAACCCGTATGGACGTATGGTATCCAGCTTTGAGGCTGTGATAGTAAAAGTAGCATCCAAATTATTTAATGTTTCCAAAATAAACTATTAAGGAACATCGTCGATGCACTCTAGTACTGCCGTAATACTGATCTTCATAGGGACCTTAAAGTGGAGACTGTTGAAAATACAATACAAAAATTTGTCAGTAGTCACCAACAACGACTGCTCCAATATGGAAACCTTAAGATTATTCAGCTTCTCAACAATGTCAATCTGATAAGAAGACCCAAGAAAACCAAGCCTTTTGAGTTAGTCCAGTAATGTTAAATATGTGTCGCATATTTAAAGCATGTATAGCCTGGCGACCAAAGGCGTGGCAAAAGGTGAAAGTCATATACCTTTCTAAAGTAGGAAGGTTTAATGTCTATCGTCATTCATGCTGAAAACGCTAGAAAGACTAATAGATAGATATATACGAGACGAAATACTGAGAGAAAACCCTCTTAGCGACCGTCAATATGCATATCAGCCAGGCAAGTCAACTGATTTGGCCCTGAATGATCTCAACAGGCTAGTGTCAAAATCCCTGGTGGATAAAGAAATGGGAGTATCAACTTTCGTAGATATTGAGGAAACTTTTCGTGATGCCCAAAACAAAACATATAATTAACGCACTGGCAATGAAAGGGGTACCAGTAGTCCTATGTCAAAGGATAAAAGCCAGTCTAGAAGAATGGGTAATAACATCATCTCTAGGCGAAGCTACACTGACAGCTAAAGCAGGAAGGGGCTGTCCTCAGGGAGAAGTACTATCACCCCTACTCTGGTCAGTCCTAGTGGATGAACTCATAAAAAAGCTAATATCTGCAGATTTCTACTACCTAGGGTATGCCGATGACCTGGCAATCGTCGTAAGAGGCAAGTTCGCAGGTACAATATCGAAGCGCACACAAACCGCTCTAAACATTGTTGACGAGTGGTGCAGAGAGGAGAAACTAACAGTAAATCCTCACAAAACTACAATAGTCAACTTTACAAAACAAAAAGTACCAACAGGACTAAAGTCACTAGTACTGAAGGGAGTGAAGATTCCATTTGCTCAAGAAGCCAAATACTTGGGAGTCATCTTTGACCACAGGTTAACATGGAATCAACAATTGTAAAAAGTCACCCAAAAGAGCACAACATCCCTTAACTTATGTCGAAGGTTGTGTGAAAAAAATTGAGAACTACAACCGAAAATGCCTCTATGGTTATATACCAGAGTCATAAGGCCGATGATAACCTACGGGTCGGTGGTATGGTGGCTAAAGACTCGGCAAGCTGAAGCCATTTGACAGCTCAATCGTAAGATGAAATGCTCCCAAGAGCAATATAAAGTAAGTATACCAGACAAGGAAGCGTGAACGGGAGAACCTCCTATTCATGCAGAATTCACCTGGTATACAGACGGCTCCAAAACCCATAAAGGTACAGGAGTAAGTATATATAGTACCAAGCCAAAAACAAGAATCTTACTGACCTAAGATAAACATGCGACAGTAATCCATGCAGAAATAGCAGTAATACATCATTGCGCAAAAGAGGTATTAAAACAGAAGGTAAATGGAAAAACTATTGTCATATACTCAGACAGTCAAGCAACGTTAAAGACACTCAGTTCCATGCAGGAGAATAGTTAGTTATCTAACGGCTTCTTATTACATTATATCGAAAAACCAGTGCAGACGCATACTATACTATAATATGTAAAGAATATCAATCACCTTTGTCAAACAATTGTAATAAAAATATTGCAGAAGGTACTTAATATAGAATTTACCTGAAAAATCTAATTTAGCTAGTAACGGTGCACTAGATGATACGGCTCCGTGAACAAGATGGGGATATTTTAGCCTCATCCAAGCTGCCAAAGAACCGGCATAAGAACCACCGAAGACGATCCACTTAACGTCCGATGAAAGTTCGTGTTGCTTGTTCATAGCTTCTATGAAGAAGGCCAAATCAGCTAAGGCTTGTTGACTAGTTAAATAAACTAGATTTTCGTTGCTTAGATTCCTAATAAAATAATGTTTTTTTTTATTTTTTTAAATATAATCTTACAGGGAATTTTGGTGAAAACTATCCAATATAAAAAATACAAAAATTATAAAAAGGGGGGTGCCTTTTTGCTCAAGTATATTCGTGGTAACTTTCAACCTCTCCTTCCCGTAGCCCACCCTCATTTTTTTTTAAAACCCTGTTTATTATTTAATTTTTTTATTCTCCTCTAATATTCGATTCTAAAAGCACAGGACTATTTCAAAAAGAGCACTTGAATTCAGGGAAAGCAGAGAAATACAATAAAACCAAGAGACCGCATTTTTCTGGGCCAAAAATAACCCTGGTATATTTAATTCTAGATCCTTCAATTGCTAAAGTAATTTCAAGTTGGCTAAAACATATTTTTTTGTATTATTTTTTAGCGAATGTCGATTGCAGATTCAGTAAAATAGACACCGTTTTTTTTATAATTTTAAGTTACCCGAAACACCTTTTAGCCTTTCTTTGTGATGACATCTTCGGCGGATCACTCACCGCAGTTTTTCCGCGCCTTGTTAAACACGAGAATTTGCAAAATTTACGGATGCTTCTAAGCTTTTTACCCTCTTGTATTTTTATAATATTTACCAGAATAATTATTTTTGCGAGATCCGGTAGCTCACTATCGACTGGTTGGCGAACAGTGATATAGGGTTTTAATATAAATATAAATATGACTTACTCTGTCGGATTACTTTTTCCGTAATATCTGTGTTCCAAATAGAATAAAATGGGTTTAAATTGTTTGGCATATAAATCATACCAAGCACCGGTAGTCACTTTACTACCAAAAGCTGTTCCTTCACCACCTATCATAAGAAACGCCACGTTCCTGGAGGTTGTGTTAAATAATTCATCGTTAACATAATATCGCTTTAAAAAAAGACCAATTATATTATCGATATTATTTGATATATTACTCATTTAACTTACTTGCTGAAATTTTCGCTCGTCATTGGGATTAAAATGATCCAAGTGTTGTGTAAACCAGCGTTCGAATTTACTGGGTTCTGAGTCCTCTAAGTTATTTCCTCGCAGTGCGATATGTCCATAGTATTGGTGAGTACCTATCGATAAATATAAAATTTCAATTAAAAATGTCTAAATATAGATAAGGATTGATACAAATCTAATGTGTCCTACACATGATTTTTCTGTCTAATTATTATAAGCTTTTGCCGGTTATATTGTACATCCCCGTAAATATTTGATCGAAGAAACATTATATCGAATAACAATTAATCGAAAAGAAAAATGATCGAAACGAAAAATAATCGAAAAGAAAATTGATCAAAAATAGATTTGATAGAAAAAGCAATTGATCGCTGGTTGCTTTGCAAAAAAAATATACAAAAAACAAGAAAGAAAAACTTAACTCATTTACTCAATCAGTGCGTGAGCGATAGATTAAATTTAAATAGCTCCAGGTCGCATAGATTAATTTGGTTTTTTCTTATATTTCTTATTTTTTATATTATTTGTTTTACGAACCTACCCGCGATGGCTCCAGGCCGCACATGTAAGCTAAATTAGTTACATCTTTTTCTAATTTCTCAAATTTTTTGTATAATTTTTTACGAAGAAATCCGCGATGGCTCCAAGCTCCAGGCTAGGTAAATTAGTTTGTTTTTTATTTTATGTTAAATAAATTGCTGGGTACCCATAAACGCTATTTTGTTCAGGCGTCGTTCTGATACGCGCCATTTTATTTAGCGCTATTTTGTGAGTCGTTGATTTTCGAAACCTTGTCCTTTCGATCTAATTAATTTTAGATCTATTGTCTTTTCAACTACATATTTATATTAATATAAGTCCATCCTGTATAAACAAAGTGCTGCGTAACATTGTCCCCTCCTATCTAGTTATTCACCCCGAATAACTTGATTACTGGGACTTGGTTGAAGCTAACGGGGAGGATCTAGACCACGGCATGGCGCTAACTTTTCAATGTGAACTATCTTGAGTTTACTTCCCGCTGACAGCTGAATGCGATAGAACAAATCATTGATTTTTCTTAAGGACGGCGTAGGGGCCTTTCCACTCAGCGGTTGAGTGCCGACTGATCACATCTCCGGGTGGTGGATAGGAGGACGGCCAGGTTTTTCTTGGTTAGTGGTAGACATAAGTAAAGTGAGAGAACCTAAAAACACTCCAAATCTTTTGCGAAGACTACCGCTGCGAATCAATTCCCCCAATCTAAGGTGTAATATAACGTACCGACGGATGAATTGTTGAAAGAGCAAATGCAGCAGCAAACACTTCCCTGGGGGAACCAAACGACACCCTCTTGTATCTAACCTCGCCGGCGCATGTGAGGCTCAGCGTCGGTTGACCGTTTCTTCCCTAGCCACTCGTGGAAACCATACGGAATCTATAATACTAAAACCCAAAGAGACTAGACGGTAACGCCCACCTCCAGCAAAGGAGACTGGACAACAAAGTTCAACTTCGGCGCAGGAGGCTGGACAGCGACGATCACCTCCATAAAAGGAGGATGGACGTCAACGTTCAGTTCCCGCAGAGAGTGACGCCCACCTAAAAAAAGGAAGATGGACACCTCCAACTAACAGGCCTCAGAGAGGCAAGAGGACCTCTGGGTCTGAAGCAAAGAGGAGGAAGAGAGAGACCAAATAAAAGCGGCTTAATCAAGTCCTTGGGTAGCGACGCTAGTTCTTTCTCCACAAGAGGCCAGGAACATGACACAACTAGGGACAAGAAAATGTCGTGATCTGACACCTCTTCCGAGGTAACGCCAGGATCACAAAATTCTGTCTAGGATAAGCTACAAGGATGCAGCTACGAGCCATCTAAATGTAGCTATATTGGACAAGGATAACCCTTACGGTAAGATAACAACCCAAAGAGAGGTTCTTGTCAAAAAGACACTGATGGGAGAGCTGAACAAAACAAGTTTATCCTCTCCCTGCAGTAAAACCTAGCCATTTACATTCAGGTCTTGGACGCACTCAGGTGAAATCATCATAGTAACGTGCGACGATGACTTGACGTTGGAATAGCTAAAAACCAAGGTACCAACCTTAAAAACAGTAACAGCGAAAGGAGCAATACTAGAGACAAATCTAAAATCAACAATAATAGTGATAAAATAGTTAATGTTACCTGTGTAAATTGATTTTTTTTCATGTTCTTCAATATTTTTAAACCATGCCACTACAAAGCAGAAGGAGAATACCAGAAGAATTTTTAATAAACACATATTTTACTACAGCAGGTATTTAATATAATAGATAAATATGATTAATACTTGACCAATCTATAATTAACTATCTGCAGTGTATTGAAATCGAAAATAGAAGTCATTACTTAAATACTTTTATACTTCAAATTCTCGTGCTTTCAATATAAACTTTTAATTACTTCTAAAGTATCTTTTATTTTTTATTCATGTGTAATTCACTTTTTAAAACAATAAAATATACATATAATGTAAAATTCAATACTTGGTCATAAATATAACGTGATCCACAAATAATGTTCCTAAAGTGGCCTTGAAAAAATTTACCCAAATACTTTTTTCTTTTTTCCAAAAAAAAATCAATTATTGTGGAATATATTAGTCTGGTTTTAATTTTTAAAGTGATTGAAGCATGCAAGCCTTCTCACTACGTTAAGGTTACATTCCTAGAGAAGGAAAACACGAACAATGTCATATATTGGTTATCATCTGCTGAACAACTTAATATATTCTATATTCTCTAGCAAGCAATTCGACACAAAACACTTTTCATTGCCGGAATGTAATATTATAATACGTTTTTCTCTATTTGGAGGAGCATTCACACAACATTTAGTAGATTGATTACTCCATCTTTTTTTTCACAACACCATGAGTGATGTACCAAGCTTCATCAAGATACACTATGAATCTATCTTGCCGACGAGCTTCATCTACGAGGGTCATTCAATAAGTAAAAAGACAAATTTTATAATTTTAAAACTATTCAATGAATGTGTACAATCTTTTCAGGGTTGTTAGTTGGAAACCTTGGGATATGCTCTGCAATGGGATTCTCATCTTTCGTACTCGGCACGTGATTTTGTGTATTTTGTCATTCATTCCTTTGTACCATTGAAAAAATTATCCACTCGACGATTTCCCAGATGGTTTTCACCTGAATTGAAAAATCTCATAATTCTAAAGAAGGAGGCACACCTTAGATTTAAATTTAGTGGATCTTCTAACGACTACATGGTATTCTCTAACTTGCGCTCTCAATGTAAACTTAAGTCTAAACAGAATTACAATGATTACATTAAACTTACTGAATCATCTGTTGGTAATGATATTAAAACATTTTGGAATTTTGTTAATTCAAAAAGAAAAAGTAATGAGTTACCCAACGAAATGTACTATAACAACACTAGATGCTCGATGGGTACAGATTTAGCTAATATGTTTCAGGATTACTTTAGCTCAGTCTATAGCAATCAACCATGCCATAATTATGATAAACCATATTCAACCCATTTAAATGTTGCAAATTATCAAATATCTATTTCAGAAATATTTGAACATCTGAGCTGTTTAGATATGACTAAGGGATCAGGTCTTGATGGCTTGCCAGCTTCCTTATTGAAAACTTGTTGTTATGTTATATCCCGTCCACTGCATATTATCTGCAACGTTTATTTAGAACAATATATTTCGCTAATTTAAATTTAAATAATATGTGTAATTATTTAAAGAACTAACCAGAAAAGATAAAATACAAGGCGATCTTAAGAGTGTGCATAAATAAAGCTTAATGCAATATAACAACCCGTCAGTCGGAGAGTTTGGTGTGGGTTAAACAAATGTCGAAAGATCTGAATAAAATATACCTATAGGCGCCACTGCCTTTGAGCGATAAGTCAGAAAACTTCCCTATGTTGTGGGAATCCCCTAGTCTTTTAAAATTGTTCCTGATTATAAAAAAAAAATAAGAAATAAAAAAATATGAATATTTCAAATAAAATTTCGTTTAATTTTCCCTTTTTAAAAGAGAGAAAAATATCACTGATCATCTACAATATCAATGGCGTATGTATAAAAATCAACAAATAATTATTATAATATAAAAGCAACCTTTTGGACTTATTAATTAATAATCCTTTATACAAAAAGAAAAAAATATATATAAAACTCTTGTTCAATTAATTAGGGTTATACTCCTCGCACGCGGGGAGCTCACAGATTTTCCCTTAAATATTTCTTACACAAAATACTCTTTTATTTATTTAACCAATATTAATTATATTTTGCATATATTTATATCAAGTAAGTAACGTAATAATTTGTATAAAAGAAAATAAGAATGTCGTTTAACACCTTTAACCCCAAGTTAATATATTATGCTCTATATTTTTTTTGAGAAAAATATTAATAGTAAAAAAAGAGAAACAAAATTAAACTTATGTATCTTATAACGCAAATAGTTTTCCTTTTCCTGTAAAGGGAAAATGAATACGAACACAAACAACTGAGTAGTCCAAATTCTCTCGATGATATCCCCAATTGTGTCGAAGATGGGCGAAGAAAAAAAATAAGTAGGTACTTACAGTCGGATTATATTGTTAATAATTTAAATACCCACTCCAAAGGATACCGTTGAAAAAACCATCCACGTTGTCCAGGACAAAAAATGTTTTACCAAAACTCAAAATCACCAATAGGTACCTCATAACCAAAAGTACGAAACGATAATCCAAACCAACAACCCTAAAAGTAATAATAATTTCTACAGCGACGCAAAACTAAATATTCTTAATTTATTAAAACTGAATTAATAAAATTTAATCGAAACCAAATTAGAAAAAAAAAATTATATATACCTCAATTTGACTCTTGAGGGTTGTGCTATCCAATGTAGACCAAATAAATTATTGAATAGGTTTTCACTGTAACAAAACGACGAATTACTTATCGTATTTTAAATGATAACACGGAAAAAGCAAGTTGTCGATGCCGACAAAAAAAGGATTAAAAAAAGTTACTCACCAAAGAAACAATTAACAATTGTTATGGAGTGCCAGTAAATCCTCCCTTAGGAGCTACAGCGTCACCAAAACACCAAAGGGTGACTCCACTATAAATTAGCGATGAAACAGATTTAATCCCTAACAATTTAGGCGGAATAATTTCCAATTTTCTGTTAAATCGAAGCATTCTGATGACAATTGTATACTGATCACCGGTCAGTGTGAATGCCTCCGCGATATCCAAAATTTATCTTTGTGTATTAGGTGCGCGAGGCAGTCAATTATTTTTGATAGTACCCAAACCTTAGTATATACAACCCACGTTACAATAAATTGGAATTTAAAATAATATATTGAAGAACAAGAGGAATATTTTATATTTTTTTTTTGTAATGACCAAACGGGTCGTTACATATCTTTAATGTTTCACCTCATAATGGAATGTTTCCTAATTACTGGAAATTAAGTTTTACTGTACCGATTTACAAATCAAGCGACATATCAAATGTAACTAATTACAGGCCAATATGCATTCAAAGTGTGATTCCTAAACTCTTTGATAGTATTATTACAAAGTATTTATCGAAACTGCTTGATCCTTTCATCATAGATCAGCAGTTTGGTTTCCGCTCCAAAAAGTCCACTGAACTTAACTTGTTGTCTTATGTTGATTACTTATCGAATGCCTTGGATTCTAATGATCAAGTTCATGGTATATACACTGATTTTTCAAAGGCATTCGACAGAGTTAGCCACAATTGCATGATTGGAAAGCTTAGTAACATTGGTATTGGTGGTAATCTTCTGAAATGGATCGAATGCTTTATAACAAACCGCATTCAAATTGTTCGTGTTTCTGGTTTCTTATCCTCTGGCTTTACCAATTCATCTAGTGTCCCTCAAGGTTCACATTTGGGACCTCTACTTTTTAATATATATAACAATGACATCCAAAATTGTTTTAAGAATTCTCAGTTCCTTTGCTTTGCTGATGATTTAAAATTATTCATGCGTGTAAATTCCTTACATGATTGTATTTGCCTTCAAAAAGACTTGGATAACTTGGTCCAATGGTGTAGTACTAATGGAATGGAATTAAATACAAGTAAATGTCATGCAATCAATTTCAACAGTAAACATAGTCCTATTGAATATATCTATAAAATCAATAACATAACACTGGATACTATTACAGAGGTAAAAGATTTGGGTGTGATATTAGACTCCACCCTTTCTTTTCAAACTCATATAACAGCCTCAGTTAATAAAGCATTAAGAATGTTGGGTTTCCTTAGAAGAACTACTTCTGATTTTCATAATGTGATGTGTTTAAAGATTCTTTATTGTGCCTTAGTTAGACCTTATATTGAATATGCTTCTTCTGTATGGAATCCTTTTTTTGTATATCTAATCCATAATATAGAACAGGTTCAAAGAAAATTTTTACGCATTGTTGCATTTAAATCGGGTATTGTCCCGGTCAACTTCAGATACAATTATGACGAATTACACACACTTTGTCATCTTGAGACCCTTCTGAGCAGAAGAAACCAAAGAGATCTTAAAATATTGTTTAACATTATTAACTCATCTGCCGATTGTCCATACTTGTTATCCCAAATTGGATTTTCTGTACCCTCTAGAGTAACTAGGAATATTAATACATTCTCTCAACCTTTCCATCATGGAACAAATTATGGTTCTCACTCTTTTATTCCTAGAGTAACAGACTAAATGTAGAATGGATTACTTCTCCATCAGATTTTCCTAACCATTTATGTATATGTGAGGAGTAATTTTTAATTGTTTTTAATATTTATGTATTTAAATTAATTTATTATTATTATTTAGGATTTTATTACTTTTTAATGTATGTAATATGTATTATCTGTAATTGTATTGTTTTAATGGGCTCTGACCCGTAAATAAATAAATAAATAAATAAATAAATAAATAAATAAATAAATAAATAAATAAATAAATAAATAAATAAATAAATAAATAAATAAATAAATATACTCTTTATTAAAATGAAAATTCTACCAAAACAAGAAAAACAGGAAACAAAAAATGTCTTCTAAAAAGTTGACTGAAAATAACCTACTAGAAGCGTCTATTTAATAAAAATACACCGGATCTTCAAGATGCAGTAGCAATTTGTGACATTGCCCCCTTCAGAAAATTTAAAATGGGCCTACTATAATTTCGAAGAAGTATAACCTAAAACCCTCCTTCGGAACTTCCTGAAAGTTTTGAAGATAGTAAAGTTTTGTCTGAATCAGAAGAAACATCTTTAATATTTGATTCGGAGGGACTTAATAATAATGAGCAG